TTTCTTTTCGTCATGAATATCAAACGGATAGTGATTGACAATAACATAGATACGAAATGTTAAATAAAGTCCGCAATCAAAATTATTACTCAGTGCTTTATATTTAAAAAAAAATCGATATAACTTGAAATGATAAAATTGATAATTTTATTGATAAAACTAGCTGATGATACATTAATAACGCAGTAATAGATTCAAGCATACATAGGAGGTAATTACGAAGACTAAATAACTAATAGTAGCGTAATATGAATAATTTAACATCAATCTTATACATAAATATTATATTTTTGTATTCTCTTCAGATAGGGACATTAAATATATATAAATATAAAAAATTTACCACTATTTACCACGACTACGCCTCCGCTATAGATTGCTAAAACTACCTACAGTCATGAGCCATCTCCATCCATCGCATCTAGTAGTTGTCATAGTATGATATCTCCCTATGGAGGTATTATTATTATTATTTTTTAGGTTTTATTCAAAGTTTACATATGGTGAAAATGTAACGTAAACCTACAACGTAGGTAACGTAGACCTATTATATAAACCAGTTTTGTGTAATCATTTAAATGAGATATTTTTAATAGACGTAAAGCCTACGTCACTTTTTACAAATGCGTCATAAGAGTAAACTTAAGGGCTCGAAACCGCCGAAGAATGGCTGTATGACCTAAAAACATATTTTTTTTTGTTGTATTTGCCCTTTAATAGTAATTTTGCCATGAAGTACGTAATAGAGATGAAGGAAGTAATGTTTAGCAAAAAATTAAAGCTTATGTGCAGAGAAGTCAGAAGCCAGAAGTTCACAAAAAAGATCGGGAGAAACAACATTATATAGACAAAAAATAAGTAATTAAATATTTTTTTATAAATGATACAAAACTGCTAAGCTCCGTCATCATTATATTTATCACTATTTTAGTTAAATCAGTATATTATGTAGATAACTTATATTAAATTGTCTTACATAGAGCAACACGGACCACCGTCTGACCGGAGAGGAACAGAAACGCAGGCGTTCCCCTCTGCCAAAGTATAACGCGGTCCAATGCGTACAAGACTAGTTGCAGCCGCACCGCACACTAGATTAGATATATTTGAGTGGCTGAATCAACGTCTTACAAAAATAACGAATTGTTAAATTTTTTGCTGCAAAATAGATCTGTCATGTCTATTTACAAAAACATAATTAAACTTACAAGAAGAACCTTTTTAAATAAAACTAATTTTACGGATTTTATCGCGTATGTTTATATATATAAGAAGAACCTTTCATACATAAGTAATCTTTAATCACTAGTACTTACTTTTTTTCAAACTTTAAAAATTACAATAACAGTTGTGTTGTTTTGATTTGCTTACCAACATAGGCCGCACACCCTCATACATTAAGCGAATCGGTCGAGCGACTGATCCGAGTCTGTATTCGAGTTGTCGCTGTCACCGAGCGATACTGTTATAATATATGACAGGAGGAACAGGTTCAGCGGTTGGAAGACCAGCTCCAGCACGAACTGGCGGAACAGGCCCGTCGTTTGGAAGAGCAGCTCAAACCCGATAAGGAAGAGCAAATGCTCCTCATTAAAGACCTTCACGCTACCTTTGGAAAAGAGATAAGGGAGGTGAAGGATAGGGTTGCTCAACATGACAACTGCCTGTTGGAAGCTGAAACCCGAATCGGCCAAGTGAACAATCGGGTTGACAACGTAATGGCTGACATGAAGAAAACGTTGAACGACCTCAAACTTGGGAATGAAATTACAGCTCCCGTGGTAGCTACAACACCTTCGCTACGTGTATTCAAAGTGCCGCCGTTCGGCAGGACTTCTTCCTGATCGGCCTACAAAATCCAGTTCGAGGCTGTTATGAAGGCAAACGGCTGGAATAAAAGCCAGGCCATGACTGCTCTCACCCTAGGCGACCAGTCCTTAACTGTTCTGGAAGCTCTCGGTAAGGAAGTGACGAGCAACTCCTTGAGGCACTGGAGGCGAGATATGGTGATGCTCACCTGGAACACCGTCTTTTCTGCAGAAGTAAGTAAGAAGAAAACCTGCAGCAGTAGACCTTTGAGGTGGAGAAGCTGATTCGAAAAGCATACCAGTTTGTACCTGCGCTCATTGAAGGGAGCCTGGTGCAAACATTCATCGACGGCATCCGCGACCTTGAAGTCAGAACTGCTGTTAAGCTCGTACACCACGAGACGCTTAAGACGCCTTGGTCCATGCACTGGAGGTGAAACCCGTGCGGCAGGGCACCCACTTGTTTATTTATTAAAAGCTTGGCTTCTTTTACAGGAAGCAGGCCCGGGTGTCTGTCAATTTTTTGAAGTTGAAAACTGCGGGTCTAAAATATATAAGCCATTGTCAGGATGGCCACGCACTACCTGTGGAGATCATTTGAAATATTTAATGGAGACCTTTGTCCCCCGTTTACTTCTTTTAATAGACACGATATTACGTTCTGCAGGGGCTTGAATAACAGCTTTCTTGTACCTAGCTTTGTCCTTACTGTTTTAATATTGCTGTCCTTTACGTGCGCCATTTGCCCTTCGTTAATTTCTACATTTGCTTCTCCTCCTTTCCTTTCCTCCTCTTTTCCTTTTTTTCAATTACCCAGAGCAGACTTCGTTGAATAGAATGTACTGTGTGGTTATAAACCATTATAGCGTAAGTCATAATAGAAGCAGCATCTGTCAATTTCTGCTTAGACTTAGCGATATTATTTATTTATTTATTTTTTATTTATTTATTTATTATTAATTAATTAAATAATTTATTTATTTATTTATTTATTTATTTATTTATTTATTTATTTATTTATTTATTTATTACAAAGTATAGTTATTTAATAACACCCGACAGTACAAATAAACTTACAAAAGTTTTTCCATGTACTGCCAATTCGTAACTTCGATCATATATTATATAAAATATAATTGAATTAAAAATTTAACTATATTTCTATTATTGTTGAATGAAAACGTTCTATAGTGTTTGTAGGGTTAGCGTTATGGGTGTTGTTATGTGAAGGTCTATTTTATATACCTTCGCTTTCGCATTAGTTCATTGCTAAGCTATTTTCCAGGGTCGCAAGTTATCTTTTTAAGTACACCATAGAATGAAAAGTAGTTTATAAGGGTTCGAACTACCTCAGGTGTGGATCTATTTGAGATTTCAAATGCTTGACCTAATTAACTAAAAGTATCGATTAAGGTAAGATAATGTGCTAAAAGATGGGACGCAAAAGTTTGTTCTGTTATTTATATTGAATTATAAGCTATTGTAAGCAGTTATTGTATCGGAGATTCATCATCATTTGGTTTATTAAGCTTTGCTATTAGTTAAATTTTTTCCGTCAACCTGTCTACATAGTTTTTAAGGTCTGAAATACTTAACTGCCCATATAATGGCTAAAAGTTAACGTTCGATAGTGCTGTATTTTGTTTAAGTGTTACTAAGGGTGCGGCTGGCATAGGCGACAAGTTTCTCGAAACCCATTGCCCCTTGTGATAATACGGCGCCTAATGCTACAGAGGACGCATCTGTTGTATCTGTTATTAGACCAACATGACTGGACCAGACGGGAGCGTCCCTTTGACCAGTGTAGCTCCATAACATCCATAGCATCCATAACAGTGGTAGAGCCACGCGGCAACTTTTGCTGTCGCACGGATGGGCCGGCTCGAACCGGGATGGTACCACGACCTCACAGAAAACCAGCGTGAAGTAGAGATTTACATCTCTGCGTTTCGCTTGGTGAGTGCAGGTGGCCGGAGGCCCTTTTTACTGGAAATGAGGCATTCCATCTTAGTCCTCACGGGTGACAACGCATCTACATTTTGTAAATGTAGATGTCTATGGGCCGCAGCAACCACTTACCATCAGGTGGACTGTGTGCTCGTTTGTCACCCTTATCCTATAAAAAAAAAAATAAAAATAAATCATAAGCCTGAACCGGACAAATATGTCCTTTCAACCAACCACGCAGTATGGCTCGGTACGATATTGTCCCTTCGATCAGCTTCATACAAATCCAACCATTAACATCAAACACATATTGTGTCGACCACACAATATTCAGAACAAAACTGCTACCCTTAGAACATAAAAAGTCATTCACTCAATTTATAGCATGTTAAAGTTAAACATTCCCCGGTACATCGCTAAATATTTTGAACTTTAAAACATACTTCATGTATACCATATTTCGCATGAACATAAAACTGGAATAACAAATCCAGTAATAACTTCATCAGGCATGATGGTTTTAGGACTTTACTCCATAACTGATCATAAGCGAAGACCAGTTTTAGACGCTGTTTCTTTAACTCTGGTTTCTTTTCTAAGGGTCGTGCCATTTCAGTAAACTTAAGCTCGGAAAAACAACCAGTTGCACGATCTTTTAAAATGATTTTTGATGCCATTAAAAAAATCATTTTCTATCTAAGTGTTTATTTTGTGCAATAATTTTTACTACATTACACCATACCTGAGTTTGGATCGTCTGAATTAAAATGCAAAATTTGCGTTGAATTTTTACTCACGGTTGACATTTTGAGATGATGGCTGGTCAAAAGGACGCCTTATTTAGTGTTAGTTTGCATGAGCTCAAACGTAATCGCCTTGCGTATGTGTGTGTAAATGTCCAAAGGTAGGGACAGTGTACCTATTTATGTCAGGATAAACAAGTGGAAGAAGTAGTGATTAATAATGTTTCTTATATGAATTCATGATGTTAAACGTACGAGAACGGTCGTATATCAGGATTGGCCATGTAGGCACGTCTGTGAAAACAGGTTGGATCGTGAGTGAAGGTTTTACTTTAGCGAATCGTTTTCCATTATTTCTTTATATTAAAAATAAATTACATTTTACTAAAAATATGTCTTTTATTTGGTTATTTAAAAATTAATCACATTTAATAAAACGGATATTATATTTGAAGAAATACTAGGATTATTACTTAAATATTGTGATCCTTACTTTTTTAAATCAACGTTTTGAGTATTTTTCCAAGAACTGATTGAATGATACCATGTGAACTCCATTAAGGTTGTATTTTTTAGACAATTCTTCCCATTCAAGAGGCAGTTGCTCTACAATGGCTTTAATTATTTGTGCAACTAGCGACTTTTGTTTTTCAGAACATTTACTGCATTCGGTTTGTACTGCATCTGGGATCAATTCTAAAAGACAACATAGAATTAGTAAAAATCTTAGTGTAGTAAATAAGCATAATATTTTTTATTATTTAAATACTTAAGTTATTCTATCTAAACACATAATAAAACATAAAATATCTTGTGTATATCATGACCGTGACCTTCTTATCATTCTGCGTAGTTAAAATTCATATAAAATTAACACAAAATCTGGAAAATTTGTGATGGAATATCCAGCCGGTAATTTATGACAATGCCTCTAGCATATGTATGTAGCTTAGTGATCACAGCAAACAACTAGATAACGGCTTCTGCTCAGAAGTATATAATTTACTTTGTTCAATAAAAATAGATTTACGAACACGAAGAATAGATAACACTTCCACGTTGGCATTTGGGGAATGAGTTAATATGATATGTTTCCCCTTAGACTCCGTAAACTCGTAACATGTTGTGTTTTAGATAGTTTCTTTAATATCTACATGTCGAATGCGGATCGGGAAAAAAATCTAGATATCTATTTACTATAGAAATAAACTTGAGAGTTAAAATGGAATATTTCGATATTTAAAGTGTATCCAGTTTTCGCCACTGAACACACAAAACACAGCAACATTATGCTGCTAGTTTACATTGTTTTTCTGTATACGTTTTTTCCCTTATAGCAATTTTCTATGAACATATAGATAAAATTAAAGTTTCCGTCTGTAATATTGTAATAGCTGGCTTCTATTAAGCTGAAGCGGCTATTTGCATGCTATCTAGGCATAAATATTATTTTTTAAATAATATTAATCTGTTTGTCTGTCCGGTCTAATCTCCGGAATAGCTGAACCGATTGTGAACCGACATTTAAGAACAGTTAGAGAGCAATACTAGGATTCGATCTAGGATATATTTAACCGAAAAATTTGTTGACTTTTTCAGAAAAATTGATAAGTTAAATGGTCTTTATATATCTATCAACAGTGGTAGAACCACGCGGCAGCTTTTTACGCTGTCGCACGGATGGGCCGGCTCGAACCGGGGTGGTACCACGACCTCACAGAATACCCGCGTGAAGCAGAGGTTTACCTCTGCGTTGCGCTTGGTGAGTGCAGGTGGCCGGAGGCCACGCATATTCTGGAGGGGGGGGGGGGTAAAATTCCGCTCGCGAATACTGCTCGGGGCAAGCAGAGCAATAAAACCAAGGCGACCTCTGTCACGTTATCTGTGAATTTTTGCAACATCAGTGTACTTCATTCCAACCTTAACGTCATCCATTACCATCTAGAGACGGCGAAGCCGGCCTTGCTCTTTTTAACCGAGACTCAGGTGTCCTCTCCGGCTGATACTTCATATCTCTCCTACCCAGGGTACAAATTGGAACACTCCTTTGTGCCCCGGACTGGAGTTTACATATACATCAGAGAGGACATCTGTTTTCGACGCCTCAGCAGTCGTGAAGGTACGGACCTGTCCATCCTATGGCTGCGCGTAGACAACGACGACCATCCCCGCGTCTACGGGTGCCTCTATAGGCCCCATAGCGGTAATTCCGACACAGACCGACTCATTTACCACGTCCAAATGGCCGCAGACTCCGTGCTACAACAGGTCCCATCCGCAGAGATCGTGATACTCGGTGATTTTAACGCCCACCACGCTGAATGGCTTGGTTCTCGTTTAACCGATCATGCGAGTAGATCTGCCTATGACTTTGCTTTGGCATATGGTCTAACACAACTGGTTACTTCGCCTACGCGGATCCCAGATGTGGAAGACCATGTACCTTCCCTGTTGGACCTTCTGCTGAACTCTCATCCGGGCGGATATCAGGTCTCCGTCGATGCCCCTCTGGGCTCTTCGGACCATTGCCATTGTCTGATCCGGAGTACGGTGCCACTTACGCTCCAGTCGCAGTTGCAGCTTACCGCCGCGTTTGGCACTATAGCTCGGCCGATTGGGACAGGACGCGGTCTTTTTTGCATCCTACCCTTGGGGGCGGGTTTGCTTCTCGCCGGAAGATCTCAGTGCTGTTGCTGATTCTGTTGCTGATGTGGTACTTCAAGGTATGAAACTTTTTATTCTGTCATCCTCTGTGGTGCCCATCAGAGGCAGATCACCAGGTAAAATAGCATCACGCTATAAGCAGGAGTGCTACCGGGCCTGGACTGATGCATCAACGTCTCGGGATGTAAACACCAGCGCACTTAAAAAGAAGTATAATTCGGCCTCCAGGTCCTTCAAAAGCGTCATTGCCAAGGCAAGGTCTGAAGTTAGTTGGCCTTCCTTCGGGAACCCATGCATTCTGGTCTCTCGCCAAGGCTGTCTAAGAGAACTTCTGTCAGCAATCTCTTCCATCTCTGCACAGAGAGGAAGACTCACTAGTCCATGCCGCAAAGGAGAAAGCCGATCTGTTGAGCTCACTCTTTGCGTCCAACTCGACTCTAGATGACGGGGGGAACACAACGCCGACCATCCCGCGGTGTGAGTACTCCATGCCGAATGTACGGTTTACACAGCACTCGGTTCGCAAAGCACCTTTCTCCCTGGACGTCAGCAAGTCGAGTGGGTCTGATGGAGTCCCTTCCATTGTGCTGAAGACGTATGCTCCGGAGTTGGCACCGGTTTTAACGCATCTTTTCGTCGGTACTCCTACTCCCAAGGCGTAGTCCCGAATTCATGGAAGACAGCTTTGGTTCACCCGAAAACTATACAAAGCGCAAGTTCGGCTTCACATGGAATACTGTTCTCATCTCTGGGCCGGGGCACCCCAGTGCTAGCTCCTTCCACTTGACCGCATCTAGCGTAGAGCGGTTCGAATCGTCGACGACCGAGTTCTTTCTGATCGGCTCGATATACTGGCACTGTGTAGGGATATTGCATCGCTTTGCATTTTCTATCGAATTTACCACGGGGCGTGCTCTGAGGATTTGTTCAGATTAATTCCAGCCGACAAATTTCACGAACGCATGTTTCATCAAAATTCACGATACCATCCTCACCATCTGTATGCTTGATGGTTCACCACTGTGCGATTTAGAAGAAGCTTTCTCCCTCGCACAACTTTCTTGTGGAATAGATTACCACCTACGATTTTTCCGGAGCGATACGACTTAGGGTCCTTCAAGAAAAGAGCCTACTCCTTTTTAAAAGGCCGGTAACGCATCTGCAATTCCCCTGGTGTTGCGGTTGTTCATGGACGGCGGTAGTCACTTACCATCAGGTGAGTATTGCTCGTATACCCCATTTTCTATAAAAAAAAATTAAATCTAAATTGCATTACATTAATAGATCCTACCCAGGCGAAACCGGGATCACTAGTTCTTTCGTGAAAACAAAACTGTTTTATAAATACTTACTTTTGAAATCGTTTCCTTCTGGTGTACATTTCCCTTTACCTAGTAAACAATGCGAATATGCTTTTAGTAGCCGTTGGCTTAGTATTATATCTTTAACGTCAAAGTTCTCATATTTGCTGTAAAACTCTTCATCAGGTCTTGCCACAACCACTGCTACAAAGATGGATAAAAGAATTGCAATCTTCATGTCTGGAAATCACAAAATATTATTGGTTTCTGATAGATAATAGAATTCTGGTGCACGACAAGTTATTAGATTCGCCATTGTTACTCTTAATTCAAAGTGTATACACTAAAATAAAACCATTAAAGTATATTTACGCGGTTTTCTATGTAACGAATCGATATGTGTTACGCGATTAATACATAGTATTAGTTCTCTGAAGATCGTACATGCTTGTGTATACACAAAAATAAATTCTTCCTTAGTTACCGAAACCCAATGCAATGTTTGACTTATATAATTGTCATAAAAGCTAGTGTCAATAAGTGGTAAAATTAAATAATTTGTACAACCGACTTCAACATTGAGGATAACTGAAAATCTATTAACCAGACCAAATCAAATCGAATTCTATAAGCCAGATCAAATTTATATGGGACTACATGAAAAGCACGAACTTTCAAATAAAAGAAGAATCATCGAAATCGGTTCACCTAGAATAAAGTTATGAGGTAAAACACATAAAAAAGAACATACAGTCGAATTGAGTACCTCTTCCTTTTTGAAGTCGGTAGAAAATAAGACGCGTCAAATAATTAAAATAAAGAATAACCGCGAGGATTATCCGAATATGAAATTGGTTATGATGATTATGTCCTTCTGGATAATTTTAACAGCGCAATTCATTAAAACAAAGCTTATGCGATGCAGTGAACGCAAGTTGTCTAAAATGCAAGGATACTGAAAATTCACCATCTGAATTATTCCAGCAAAAAGGATTCAACCAATTCTTCGGTAAAAAAATGAGTTAAATTTGCCTAATAATAAGCTAAAATAAAAATAAAAGTTGACTTCAAAGAACTAAAATGATTAAATTAGTAACAAAGCCTCTTACTTTCCACGTTCCTCGATAACTATTCGAATATATATACTATATCTACTTTGCAACCAACAACCCTAAGAAGACCATAACAGCACACTGACACTGCACACCTCTGACTTTAAAACAAAGAAAATAGACGTACAGAAGCAGAAACATAACCAAATCATTTTCAAATTATTATAAGAACTTACACACACATAATGCAATCAAAATCATTTGCAACCAACCACATGGTTTAAAGTACATACTCAGTGGATTTTTACGGGCTGTTAAATAATGAAATAAGAAAGATGAACGTTACTTGAATAATAAGCAGCTCTCTTTCCATCTTCTTTGTTGGTCTGAGCCTCTGACAAGCCGGAGGGAGGGATCATGGCTTAACTTGATGTTATTAACAACCGTAGGCTATTGCAATTTCCTTTCCGGATATTGTAGTTCCTTTATTTTTAAAATTGCGATGCCGCAGTCGTTTGGGTGTACTAATAATCCACATTTCCATTAGTCGGCTTTTATGATATCCACCGGAAAAGCCCATAAAACAGGGCGATAGCATTGTTTTTTTATATAGGATGGGAGAGATAAGCAAACACATAGTTTACCTGATGGTAAGTGGTTGCTGTGGCCCATAGACATCTACATCTATCCTCGTTTGTGAATCAAAATGCAGGTGTGCTGTCAGCCGTGAGGTCTAAGGTTCTCTACATTCACCATACGAAACACAGCAGCATTGAACTGCTATTTTACGCTAGTATTCTGTGAGAGTGTGGTCCTTCCCCGATCGAGTCAACCCATTTGTGTTACAACTATACAATTAATATAGCTGCAGCATGGCTCTACCACGCTTAATCTTTGACCTTACCTCAGTATTACACCAACTTTAAAATATTTCAAATCTTATCGCTTAACAGGTTATAAAATAATCACTGCTTACCTGTATGAGTGAAGTACTTGTCTTGAACTGATGGAGAATTATTAAAGTGTAGCTTTATATAATATCAAAACGATTTTCATTTTGACTTTGAATCTACATATAATATATCCGCATTAAAATAAACATGTTGTAAGCAACGAAATTTCAATAAGCATTTTGGAAGATTTATTTATTATTTTACACACAATTGCAATGCTTCATGCCAATTAATTTTAAATTTTATGCTAATATTTTAAATACACTTGTGGTTTTTAATGCGGAATGGTGGAGACATAAAAATATACAGGGTTAGTAAAGGTAAATGTATGTAAAATAATGTTATGAATATTAATAAAAGAAACTTTACTTATTATAACAAAATAAAATGTCCAAGAGTCATAACCTATTTAATCGTTCGTTTCGCAACAAATGAATACTACACTTCATTTTATTTTTATGAGCATTCATTTCTATGTTTAGTCATCCCCGTTACATCTCAATGACAACTGGACCTCTACAAATACCACACGCGCACCGCTACCACTCTTTGAGCTACGCCTACGGTATAGCTGTTGACATAGTCAAAAACACAAAATAGAATGAACTATGCAACTCTATAATTTAACAGGGTCGTTAATTACCCAAATAGACTCAGGTTATTCAATCGAAATAAGCTTGGCATTCAGGCATTTCTCTCAGCTATTTATATAAGGGGGGACAAATGAGCATGCGGCTTACTTAATGGTAAGTGACTACCGCCGCCCATGAACAATTGCAACACCAGGCAATTGCAGGTGCGTTGCCGAACTTTTAAAACAATAGTAAGCCCATTCCTTGAAGTCGTATTTGTCCGAAAAAATCGCTGGTGGTAGCCGATTTCTTAAAGAAGTTGTGCGAGGAACAAAACTTCTGGTAAATCGCACAGTGGTAGACCGCCAATCACCCAGATGGTATGGATGACATGGCCAGTTTCGTCACGACTTATGATATTGAAACTTAGCAGCAGGAACAATATGGTGGAATGGATGAATGGAAATTAATTTATTTCCTTTATTAATCAACTTGGTATAATGCTTAAATTGATAACAAGTGCAGTAAAATTATCACTGAAAAATATAGTTGCTATATAGTTTCAACTTTTTAATTAACACATTTTATACTGTACATAATATAAAAAATTACATTATCATGATATATCAGTTTACAAGGGAGAAATAATCATCCACTCTTAATAGTAACTTGAATTATATGTAGCAATGATTTGCAGTTTGGAAGTGCTTTACAATTAGCCAGATAGCATCTAAGTGAAATTTAATTAAATGAAAGGAGGTTCTCTGATATTTTGTGTCCTTACTTAGCATAAATTAACTATCCGCTCTTAATATTTACTTGAATTAAAAAAATTTTGCAGTTTGAAAGTGCTTTATAATTAGCCAGATAGCATCTAAGTGAAATTTAATGACATTAAAGGAGGTTCTCTGATATTTTGTCCTAACTTAGCATAAATTAATTATCCGCTCTTAATTTTTACTTGAATTAACAAGGTTTTGCACTTTGAAAGTGCTTTATAATTAGCCAGATAGAACCTATAGGAATTTTAATGAAATGAAAGGAGGTTCTCTGATATTTTGTGTCCTTACTTAGCATAAATTAATCATCCGCTCTTAATATTTACTTGAAGTAACAAAATTTTGCAGTTTGAAAGTGCTTTATAGTTAGCCAGATAGCATATATATGAATTTTAATGAAATGACAGGAGGTTCTCTGATACTTTGTATCGCTACTTGGCGTAAATTAATCATTCGTTCTTAATATTTACTTGAATTAACAAAGTTGTACAGTTTGAAAGCGCTTTATAATTAGCCAGATAGCATCTAAGTGAATTTTAATGAAATGACAGGAGGTTTTCTGATATTTTGTATCATTACTTAGTATTTTGTGACGTAGAGGATTATTCAGGATAGGACATGCAACAATTTTGCAGCTCTCTGCTTTTCTCGAGAGTTCTGGGTCGTATATATATATATATATATATATATATATATATATATATATATATATATATATATATATATATATATATATATATAAGTATATAGACAGATAGATAAATGAGTACGTGATCGCATACTTCTTCGGAGCATTAATTTACAGTCTTCTAAGCTTTATTTATCCAGTAAGCTTGATCTACAATATAAGCATTCAATATAAACAGTACGAATACATAATAGAATTGATATCTTGTACGTAAGACCGCACAGTAACATCTGTGAAACTAAATAAAGTAGCGCTATAGTTTAGTTTAGTTTCTTAACGTCTTTATAGTAAAATCTTTTTAAAAACTCTTCGCCGGCATCGCCTGTAGTTTGCCTGAAACACTTTTTATGTGGTAGAGCCATGCTGCAGCTATCTTATGGTTGTAGCACTAATGGGTCAGCTCGACCGGAGAAGGACCATGCTTTCAGGGAATACCAGCGTAAAATAGCAACTTAATGCTGCTGTGTTTCGTATAGTAATACCTGTTTATTTATCTCATTTACTTATTACATATAAACCTATATTAAACTAGTGCACTAACAATTATTATATCTATTTAGCAATACTCATCTCATTTCAGTAATATTCTCTATCGATATTTATGTAGTAAATTTATATAATTAATTAATTGAAATTAATTGAATTGCGATATTTAGTAAACTAATTGAAGAAATAATTAGTAACTTTAATAGTGACCTCGTTCTAACCATCATCGCCTAATTCCAAATAAAAGGATCTGAATTATCATTTGAATTTAACGAAAAATGAGTAAATAAAAGATTTTTATTTTTGCAACCCGACTCTTCAACAAAAAACCTTGCAAAATATTTAATGAGTTTTTTTGATACGTCGTTTTCTCATGACCGAATACAAGGAAAGATTCTTCATGCATATTCATGTTTTACAGAGAATGGGTTAGCAATAAAGAGTACAAAATAAAACGTGACGTAATAAAATTTTAATATCATGACGCAAGTTGCCGCCCTGTTTTAATTTTTCGTTAAAAATAATGGTTGGAAATTAAATGAAATCAAAAAGTATCGTCTTTTTAAATGGTAAGACAGTTGATAATAACATAAATACTAAAAGGATCCAGTCATTTAAGATGAAAATTTTTAAATTTATGAAAATAGTTTTAAATTTATGAAGGAATAAGATAGAAAGGAGTTACAATTATAATAAACTTCTAAGACC